ATGGTTCCATCTGTTCGTTGACAACCTTATCGTACCCATCCTTTATGCATCCAGCGACAATCCTAATATCAGTATGGTTCCATCTGTTCGTTGACAACCTTATCGTACCCATCCTTTATGCATCCAGCGACAATCCTAATATCAGTATGGTTCCATCTGTTCGTTGACAACCTTATCGTACCCATCCATTTATACATCCAGCGACAATCCTGACATCAGTATGGTTCCATCTGTTCGTTGACAACCTTATCGTACCCATCCATTTATACATCCAGCGACAATCCTGACATCAGTATGGTTCCATCTGTTCGTTGACAACCTTATCGTACCCATCATTTTTTCATTCAACAACAATCCTAATATCAGTATATTTTTGAAATTATAATTTTTTTATCCATAACTCTAGCAACAGGACTTTCTACATAATTTTGGTGATTTTGATATTTTCTACTTTACATACTTTTGGTACCTCCATTTAATGTTTCTCAGATCTGTCAAGACTTCTTTCAGCACTTGTCCAAATTTCTGATCCCATTTACAATTTTGTTTTTCCACATCTTCTGTAAATAGTTAGTCTCGTTTGTTTTTTATCATTTCCTAGGTTTTCCGATCGTGTACTTAGTTAAAATTTTGTGTTTGTGTGATAATTTTTCTGTATGTTTCATTCTGTTGTGTTGTTTGTTTTAATTTTTCATGTCATAGTACCTTAGATTTCATCTCACCGGAAACGCTAAGTGTAGCTATGAAATGTAAGTGGACTTCGTTTAAAAAAAAAAAATCATCGTCATATTTGGAAAAATTTCAGAAAATGTTAAGTAGAGAGTGTAAAGAGCTTAGATAAACGTTTACGTTTTATACAAGTGTTTGAAATGCCATTTTTCGGCAAGTTTTATCGCTTCGAGAACGTGTTCCTCCATGTACTAAATATATATACACATCCGAAAGAAAATAAAAAGATCTGCATAAACGCAGCTATGCCTTTTATTCTGATTAGACGGTGCGAACCAGACCGCACGACGAAATATTAGTTAATGATGTGTTAATGCATAATATAGCAATGAAGAGAGCCGGAATATCACGATTGAATCGTTCGGGTTAGCCTTCTTGCAACAATTTCATCATATTTATATAATTAATTGGACAACTTAAAATAATTTATATTTTTCCCATAAAAAATGTAAAACAACATTTTATGACATCGAATTCCAGGGTTGACTGATGACAGTAATTATTACGTTTGAATTCTTTAATTAACTTTTAGCGCACAGAATGGTCAAAATATCTTTTCGTGTATGCGTTTTCATTAAGTTTTGATGAATTTTAAAATTTTCCTCTCACGCAGCAACGTTTTTAGTTTTGTTTCGTTAACAGATTCGCTAACGAAATATAAATTTCGTAATGCACATTTTTATAGAACGTATTCAAACAGTAATCACACGTTTTTAATCATTCCTCCCAGTGGCATTACTTTTAGCAATTGTTTGTTTTTTAATTTCGCGCAAAGCTACACAAGGGCTATCTACGCTAGCCGTCCTTAATTTAGCAGTGAAAGACTAGAGGGAAGGCAACTAGTCATCACCATCCACCGCCAAGTCTTGAGCTACTCTTTTACCAACGCATAGTGGGATTGACCGTCACGGCTGAAAGGGCGAGCATGTTTGTGGGGCGGGGATTCGAACCCACGACCCTCAGATTGCGAGTCGAGCGCCTTAACCACCTGGCCATGCCGGGGGCTTTTATCAAAGCAAAACCTCAAACTAACTCTACCGTTGGAGGGAAACTATCATATGCTGGTAGAAAAATCCGACTACGGATTCTTCCCAGGCATTTAGAAACTTGTTATTCAACAGTTCAGTTCTTTCTAAAGCATCGCTGATGCTGCAAGTAAATGACATTACTTTAATCAGACAGTAAAATATTTTTATATTATTATTTTGTTACAGTCAGAAACTGTAAACTCTGACCAATTAATTTAACCGAGTCTGCGAACGATATAAGGTACAGTGTAAGTATAAGATTATAGTTGTTAGCATCATATTTCAATGATTGAGCAGATGGCTCTGATAAGATTAAGTTTTGATTTGTAGTGCTGTATGTATCCAGTGGTAATAGAATTAGGTTCAACCGATTTAACTGCGTTTAAAAAAATAAAATCTGGTTATACGTTAGTAAAGCATTGCGTGAGATTTCGCATTCGCGAGTTAAAACAATAAAGCAAATTGAAATATTTATTAACCATTTTTGAAATGTAAACAACGGAAGTTTCAACTGCGCATGAACAGCCACATATGCTTATATTGGTTATATTTACACGTGTACTGTGTGGTTTTAATGAGTACATTGCAGTAAGGAAACTACGTGATACCCTTATTTTTTAGCAGCGGCATAGTGGCTCATAGAATGGCTCTGAGTTTCTTTTTTTTTTTTCAAGTACAAACCTTTAGCTCCTACATTCGTCATCTCTTGACCGATTTGAGATATAATTAAAGTTTTGGGATTAGGAGATCAAACCCTTTCGATTGATGTATTTCACCACGCCCTAGGTCTCATAGATTAATTTATTCTAATCCTGCTTAAAAGAATTTCAATTTGAGGGTAGGCTGGTAGGAATCTTGACGAGTAATAAAATCGAATCGGATATACGCGCGCCCCACGCTTGGTATTGTTAGCGTACAAAAATATAGCTCATAGAAAAGAGAAAAAGGTCTCATAAATTAATTTACTCTAATCCTGCCTAAAAGAATTTTAAGTGCCGCGGCTATTGGGGATTCCCTCTTGTTTTATCCGACTTTACACAGGGAGGAACCATATTCAAGCTTTTGGTTGTTTAATGGTAATTACTGGAAATCACAGAGAAAACATAATACTGAACAAAATAACGATAACCGGAAAGTGCAAAGTGTTTAACAATTTTCAGAAGTTCACCAAACGATGCTACAACTTACGTTTTGCTTTAGCTGCTTGTTTGGCAGTCGGCACCCACCGTACAAAAGACAGGTCCTCTTCCAGGGTAAAATATCGACGATATTGTCTAGAACTACTCTTCAGTTTCACCATGCTGCTTCCGTTCATCATGTATTGCCAACAGTCGGAAGCTTAAGATAAAAAAGAAATATATATAACTTACGAATTAGATTTAGATATAAACGCTTGAACAGAATACTTTACGTGAGATTAATAACTTAGAATCGCGTTTTCATTTTCTTTTACAGGAAATATTAAGACGAAGCTGTCTGAAAAGATGTGAAACTATAACTGAAATATGAGTATGCATTATTACTATATCAAACATAATTTTGTTTCAAACTCTTGATGATCTATTGGAAAGTTTAAGAGTTCTTCGAAATACGCAGCAATGCTTCACACGATGTGCACGTGGAATATGATACTTGTAGATGATTGCAATCGTGTAGTTTAAAATTCCCTCTATGGAGATTTTAAAAGAAATCAAATCAGACGAACATATTTGGCACAGAAAGCATTTTGTTACACTGACCGTCCTTTCGCATACCAATTCTAAATGTAGCACTAACCACAGCAATATTCCAGTATTACAGTGCCTAAATTTTGACATAAAAGTTCTAAGAGTGTTGTGCACTGGAAAAAAAAAAGAGAGAGAGAGGCCTAGTTGTTTCGGCGTTATATCAACTGCACTTTGACACAGCAATTCTAAACATGTGTTTTAGTGTCTAAAATACACTTTCATCCATTACTTAATGTTTGTTTGAAATTAAGCACAAAGCTACACAATGGGTTATCTGTGCTCTGCATACCACGGGTATCGAAACCCGGTTTCTAGCTGTATGAGTCCGCAGAAATACCGCTGTGCCACTTGCGGGCCATTACCTGTTGAGGTTTTGTATTAAATTAAGGCCAATGTTGACCCATATTATGCACTTGGTTATTGAAATAACTTTCTGGCTTTTTTTATTTGTTAAAATTGTAGTTGACGTAATGTACGTCTTATTTTGCTCGTTTCTTTGCTTTTTTAAAACTTCCTAGCGTTATTTGTTCTTCAATACGGCGGTTTTAATACTTTTGTATCTTAGTTAAGCAGAGGTTGGAAGTAAATTTGGCGATCTGAACTAAAAAGAGGAACATATTTTTTGTTTTTACCTGGTACCGTTTGTCTTTCGTTTATACTTATATTATATTTATGCCCCCTACCGGTGTCAACTTTAGGATACCACAAGGTTTTAAAGACGTGTACGTTTACTGAGTAGTGTATGTTTTTTTTTATTTGTTGTTGTTTTTATGTGTCAATCTGACCTGAATGAAGGTGCATTTTGCATTTATAATGCTGTACTTATAACATAATATCATGAAAAACCTTTTGAAAATGTGACTCTAATGCCCGCAGATTAAGTTTCCAAATATATTTCCTAAAACTTCTGTTGACGACTATCAAGTTTTAGTTCACATCTTTTATATATATATATATTAGTTGTTTTGGCAAGTTTTAGTTCACATCTTTTATATATATATTTTAGTTGTTTTTGGCAAGTTTTAGTTCACATCTTTTATATATATATATATATTAGTAGTTTTGGCAAGTTTTAGTTCACATCTTTTATATATATATTCTAGTAGTTTTGGCAAGTTTTAGCTCACATCTTTATATATATATATTAATTGTTTTTGGCAAGTTTTAGTTCACATCTTTATATATATATTTTAATTGTTTTTGGCAAGTTTTAGTTCACATCTTTAAAGGCTCGTATTTGTCACAGATTTTGGATTTTATTGGTAGCATATCTAAAAATCCAATCTTAAACAACCACGCAATATCAGGCTTACATGCATCACCCTAAAAATATGTGTGTGTGTGTGAGGGAGGGGGGGGGTAATTGGACCGGAATGAGCCTCAGTTCGGCGAGTGGAAAAAAAGCTGGTGGACAATCATACCAGAAAATTTTAATTAAGTTTTCGACAGAAAACGGGAATTTTTAATCAACAGTTTTCGGAAAGGTCGTGGGGTGAAGGCAAGGCAGTATGTATTGTATCTAAAACAGCTTTATCTGGCTCAGTTTAAAAAGAATTTATCTCGCAAGTATACACCACTCTAAAAAGTTTATTGGTAATTTCAGTTTTCTCACAGATATATATATATATATATTTATACTTTCCATGATCGCAGGTTAAAAAAATACAGACGGAGAGATAGTACTAATTAATCTATTAACTGTCCTATTATTAATAATTTTGTATATTTATAGTACAGAAAAGTCGTTACGTTAATTGCCAATCATACAGTCCCTGTTTTAAGTAAAGTTTCATTAAAGTATCCTTCCGCCTAAAACATATCTATTTTTAAGCGGTTATATGTCAAAAACCAGTCAAAATAAAAGGCACACGCTGCAAAAATAAATCTTTTAAATATTTTCTTTCAATACGTTTTGTTGAAGAATTCCAAGCAAACAATTATAAAAGTCTTAAAACTCTATCTTGAAATAGATATATGCAGTAAGATGTCAGACAGGAAAATTCAAAATATACTGAACTTAATGAAGTAGATAAAGACAGGAAAAGTTGTAGCACAGTAAAAATAATACTTGAGAGTGCTTAATCTTACAACAAATTCTTTCTGAGTTTTGGCTTAATTCGACAGTAATTCAGAAATGTTGATTTATCAGTCACCTTGATCACAGCAAGCTACTTACATAGATCATAACTAAAACATAACCCAGTAAACAATACTTAACATACCTATCTAACCAGGAGCTTGCAATGATATAAAATAACAACTTATAACGGTTCGAATACATTAGTTGGTTACCCGCGCTGTTTTCAGTTTCTTTGTTTAATTGTAGTCAAATTTAAAGCTACAAAATTCGTTATCTGTGGAGTGCCCACATGGGTATCGGAACCCGATATTTGGCGTTATAAACCTACAGACTTACCGCTGTGTTATTGGGGAGGGGCGAAATATTGAATCTGTATATTATTTATTTTTCTTGTATACAGTTCTTTGTTAGTTTCTCTTTTTCTTGTTATTATTTTCCTCAGTTACATATAATTTTTTCAATTATTTTATATTGTTTCTAAACAAGGTATTGAATTTTGACTTTTCAGTTTCACGAACAAATCTTACAGTTATTATTATTCGATAACTTAAATACTTAGTTCTGCGTGGGGTAGAATTTTTTCTTATCTAAACGTCAACGAAACATAAAGTATTTTTCATTTAATTATTTGTCGCAAAGGTAATTATAGACTATGGTTGACACACACACATATTTATTGGTATATTTACTTTAAAAAGGAAAAAGATTGTTTCTGATTTTTAAGAAAATCTCCCCAGTGGCTCAGCGGGGTGTCTGCGGACTTACAACGCTAAAAAACAGGGTTTCGATACCGGTGGTAGGCAGATCACAGATAGCCCATTTTGTAGCTTTGTGCTTAATTACAAACAAACATAATAAAGTCGTTATTTTTACAGGGTTTCGATACCGGTGGTAGGCAGAGTACAGATAGCCCATTGTTAGCTTTGTGCTTAATTACTAACGACTTTATTATGTTTGTTTGTAATTAAGCACAAAGCTACACAATGGGCTATCTGTGATCTGCCTACCACCGGTATCGAAACCCTGTAAAAATAACGACTTTATTATGTTTGTTTTTTTTACAGGGTTTCGATACCGGTGGTAGGCAGAGTACAGATAGCCCATTTTGTTGCTTTGTGCTTAATTACAAACAAACATAATAAAGTCATTATTTTTACAGGTCAATTGAAAGCAACCACTCCATTTTTTTGCCTTATAAGATATTATATTAAAACATTTCATGACATATAACAAACAAATAAACGTTCTTATCAGATATAGTTAACTTCATTTACACATTTATCCATAAGCCCATTTGTTTTTATACTGTTCACCACTGGTGTGATTCATATATTACATGACATTGGATAATTTCATGTTTTTCTACCTGTTACAGCCTTCAGAGTAAAGAAATGCCCTCCCTCCCCAAAAAAACAGAAAAAAAATATTCAGTAAAACATCAAATTTCTATGTGAAATACATATGGGACTGTGCCAATTATTAGCACGATTAATTGAAATATTGACGGTAGTTTTCTTTACAATTTTTATGTGACTCGTATGCTATTTGAGATCGCTGAAGCAACTCGGCGCTTCAATCGTTTAGAAATATTATTTGATAAAGTCTATGTGTTAAGGGCCCATCGGTAATTTAGAGGTTAAAAGACCAATCTGCGTGAAAGATGTAATCATATATTTAAACAGTTAATTACCACACGAAGCTTTCAACGTGTGGTTTTATTTAAACAGTTAATTACCACACGAAGCTTTCAACGTGTGGTTTTATTTAAACAGTTAATTACCACACGAAGCTTTCAACGTGAGGTTTTATTAAAACAGTTAATTACCACACGAAGATCTAAACGTAAGGTTTTATTTAAACAATTAATTATCACAAGAAGCTCTAAACGTGAGGTTTTATTTATACAATTAATTACCACAAGAAGCTTTAAACGTGAGGTTTTATTTAAACAGTTACTTACCACACGTAGCTCTAAACATGAGGTTTTATTTATACAATTAATTACTACAAAAAGCTCTAAACGTGAGATTTTACATCGGCAGTTTTAACTATTTGATTGGTGCGAGTAATTTATTTGTTTGTTAGTAACAAAACTACTATACTAAGGCGCTATCTGCTGCCGCCCTTAATTTGAAACTGCCGACTACAGGGAAGGCAAACGGTTGGTAGTGACGCTCTCATTATAACGCCACTACGATGGAAAGTGCGAACATGATGGGCACCGGGTTTCGATTCTGTTACCTACAGATTGCAAGACGAGAGTTCTAACCACCAGCCTGCTAGTAGTGAAAGACGAGAGTCCTAGCCACCAGCCTGCTAGTAGTGAATAACGAGAGTCCTAGCCACCAGCCTGCTAGTAGTGAAAGACGAGAGTCCTAGCCACCAGCCTGCTAGTAGTGAATAACGAGAGTCCTAGCCACCAGCCTGCTAGTAGTGAAAGACGAGAATCCTAACCACCAACTTGCTAGTAGTGAAATGTTGATTTAATTCGTAAGAAATTAAAAATTAAGAATACTCACGTGCACAGTTGA